GAATCTTCAAACGGCAGTCCCAAAAAATAGTCCGGGGACGGTTTCTGTAGCAATTTTTTTTTGTCTATTTTTGGATAGTTGTTGGTATTTTCGATTCTTCGTCCAAAATCCGCCTGTGCGGGGACATGCCCGACCTAAGCGTACACCTTAGGCGATGCTTAAGAAAACCTAAGTTTTCGTCCAGAGTCTCGATTATTCTTAATTTTTCAATGTGAACCCCCAGATTTTCATAGAAGTTCTGGGTTTCATTCAATTTCTGAGACTATGAATTTCTTAACCCATGATTTCTTAAGCATTTCGCAGGGTGTACTCCGCGCGCAGAGAGCCGCGCGCCCGCGGGAGGCCGTGCTGGCGGCGCTGCGGGCGCTGGAGCGGGCCGGCGGGGCACTGCTGGGGGCGGCGAGGGAGCGCCCTCTCGGGGGGGTCTCCTGCCGGGGGGTCCGGGGCGCCGTCCTCCTCCTCCTCCTCCTCCTCCTCCTCCTCCTCCTCCTCCTCCTCCTCCTCCTCCTCCTCCTCCTCCCCGTCCTCCCCGTCCTCCTCATTCGAGCAACGCTGGGTCCGTGCGACCGGGGCGGCTTCGGCGGAGTGATTCCCGGAGTGATCCCGCTCCCGCGGAGGGCGCCGGAGGGAGGGGAAGCGGGCGGAGGGGGTGGAGGGGTCAGGCGATCGCAAACACGGATCAGGGGGCCGTGGATCAGCGACAGGTCCCGCTTCCACGGGAAATCGCGGAGCTCCGCCGCCGAACGAGGCGGCACCGGCCGCATGTTGGGGAGGCGCGCCAAAGCCATGGATCGCTAATCCATGCTTGCACGCCCCCGAATGGGGAGAGGAGCTCGGCGAGGGGGGGGAGCTGATCAGGAGCAACGTTCGGGGGACAGGCTAAGGGGGGGGGACGCATCGACCCCCGAGCGCCCACTGATCGCCGATGGGGGTCCAGTGGCCCACCCCGCCGCCCAGGACCGCACGGATTCGCTACCAGTGACCTATCGCCGATCATATCGGCGATGCATCTCCGGGGCATCCTGGTGGCCCTAAACTACCAGGGGGAACGGGTTCGGCCCGCTCATCTACTACGACTTCTGAGGCTGCGTCTTTCCGTGCCGCCTCTCTGTAAGCACGACAGACTCTTCCGGGCACGAGCGATATCGGCAATGCATCTCCGATTCCAACTCGATGTTTCCCCCCCCTCCCCACGGAGCTGGTCCTCCCTAGCGTTGCCCCTCAGTGGAGGGGAGGTCGACGAGGTCGGAGGTTGGAAGGGGAAGAGCTGCACAAGCATAAGCTTCTGGAGTTCCGATTTCGTGGATCCGCGCTGGACTTCCCTGGCGGCGCCTCCGCCGCCGCCCCTGGCGCGCTCCGCGCGTCAGGGAAGAGGGTCTAGCGCCGATCCAAGAAGTCTGCGCGAACCTCTGAAAGTTTGTGCTCGTGCCGCCTCGCCTCCCATCGGAGGAGGGGGGCGCAGTCTGGGAGACGTCCCTCAACTGGCCGCCCTAACGATCCTGTCTTGGCCCGTCCTGTATGAAGATCGCTGAATCTATGTGGTCAGCCCTCGATCGTCGTGAGGAAAAAAACAAAAATAATCATACTAATAATAATAATAGTAATAATAATAATAATAATGAGAAGAATAATAATAATAATAAAAAAAAACACCCCCCAAAAAAAGATGTCTTGGCCCGTCCTGGGCCCACGGTCGGCGCGCACGCCCTGCTGGCTCGGCCAGGGAGCTGCGCGCTCCGACCCCGTGTCCGCTCGCGGGCGCCGCCGCGCGGGCGCCCCTGTGCGCGGAGTGGGTCTCCGAGCGTCTCGCCGCGGCCGCGCCCCTGCCCGCTCGTGGGCGCCTCGCGGGCGTCGCACAGGCTAAGCCGCAGAACTCACTTTAACGAAGGATTGCAAAAAAAACGAAGGATTGCAAAAACTACCCAGGATTGCAAAGGATTGCAAAAAAAAAGCAGGATTGCAAACCAAACCCAAGTTTTTTTTGCAAAGACACTGCACAGCTCGCGCCACGCAGCTCACACCACGTCGTTTATCCCACACAGCGTGCACCACACAGCTTTCACAACATGGCTCACACAGCAGGGCTGACACCGCTTAGCTCACACCACACAGCTCAAACTGCATAGCTTGCACAACCGAATTCACAACACACCGCTTGCACCGCAGAGCTCACGACACATAACGTACACCGCACGAGCTAACACCGCATAGTTGTTTCACCACACATATCGCAGCGATCTCACCCCACGCCGATTGCACAACATATGAGCACGGCACATAGCTTACACCGCATGGGCTCACACCACATAGCTCGTACCGCATAGCGTTCGCCTCCACAGTGCAATAACTCATTGTTTGGAGTGCAGCGGGTTGTTGAAGAGGATGGAGCACACTCTAGATAGCGTCAGTACTCCTGAGGACATGGGCTTCCGGAAAGGATACAGTTGTTGTGATTCGGTGCACTGTCTGAGGATGATCAGCGAAAAAGGGACATAATGGGGGGAAACAGTATGGGCTGCATCAGTTGACCTGGAGAAGGCATTTGACAGAATCATGCATACAGCAGTTTCCACGGGGTTGCAAACAGCGGGCGTGCACGAAGAAGAGCTGTGCGCAATCGAAGACATGTACCGGCAGCAACGGATATACGTGCAGCTGGACCAGAACACACGCAGCATATATTTCGACATCATGCGCGGCGTCAGGCAAGGCGATCCGATGTCACCGGCGTTCTTCACAAACACAGTACGAAACATCATGGTCAAGCTAATGAAAAAGTGGTAAATTGTCCTACGGATGTATCGTTGGGAGCAACTGTTTGGAGAGATGCCGGATTACATACGCCATGTTCGCGGACGACACGACCCTACTTGCGAAATCCAGACAAGCATTTGCCAGAATGCTGGCGGACATCCGGGAAGAATTGGCAAAAGTTGGTTTGAATTTAAGCGCAGACAAATGCAGCGTGCAAGGTTTGGGAAAGGGTGCAGTCACAGGTCAGAGGATCAAGCTGGGGGGAGAGGGGCACCCCAAGACAAGCAGCACGTCGGGATTCAAGGTGCTGGGAACAATTGTCACAATGGATGGAACTACTTCAATAGAATTGGAGGCACAGCTCAGGGCGGGATGGACAAACTTTTCAAGCTTATCATATTTGCTCACCAAAAACAAAACATCGCAAACAAAACGTTTACAATTGCTTGATTCAACAGTGTCCGAAACAGTTCTGTGGTGTTCTGAATCGTGTAAGTTGACTGTTGCCCAGAAGAGGAAACCCAGAAGCGTGAAGAGATCGATGCTGAGGCGTACGATTGGTTATGGAAGGGAACCAGATGAGGATTATATTTCATCGGTGCGAAGAGCGAAGCGGGCAGCAAACCAGAAGGCCCGGCAGGCGGGCGTAGCATGCTGGACAGAAGCCTTTATTACGGAACGAATGGAGGTGGGTTGGGAGATTTGCAAATGTGTCGCCATCGCGATGGGCCAAAAAGACAGTTGAATGGCGGAACTATGACTGGTGGTCGAACCAATCTCGGGGAACATGCCCCGTCAGGTTTCGACCAGGACGCTTCGTCCGATGGGAGGACGATATTGATTGTTTTACGAATGACAAAGGATGGGATTCATGGGCCGAAGTGGACAAACTGCAGAAGGTATGGCGCAATTGCGAAGATGAGCACGTGGGCCGCATGTGGCGCTGATCCGTTTCTGTTTTTCCAAAGCGTCATATGTTTCCCACGACCCAGCCTTCCTGGAAGCCAGCGCGTTTGGCGCGCCTGCCGCCTTAGCTTGAGTCGCCCCCCGGGCGATGGCAGACTCGTTCGTTCGGTCGTCGCTCGTTCGTGGGAATCCACGCTGGCTAACATGTAGTGTGGAGGAGGATCAGGAATGCTCGAACGCTCTATTCGGTACATTATTCTTGGAGTGTTTATGGCACGTTGGCACATGTAGTACATGAGTTAACGTGTGGCGTCGAGGTGCACACATGGGTGAGATGATAGGGCGCAACAGCATGATGGTGTTAAGGACTTATTCCGCTCAGGTTTTGTCATTGTATCAGATTTGATACGAAATGCGCACGAAGGCACTGTATGGCATGCGACCTATGGGGCACAATACGTGGAATTCAATGGTCAGCAACTTCGCTGAGACATTGGCCATGGGCGTCTCAGGAGTGGCTCTGGTTTTCGGGCCGTTTTCCTACGAGCGACCGGGGCTCACGTGGCCAGAAACGCCCTGCTGTTCTTGATTCAGCGCCCCTCATGGTAGCAAAATTATTGTGCGTGATTCAACCTATACGGTGCAATATGGGCTGGCGCACCACATGTGAGAGGAACACAACACACATATGCAATGTACACCGTGAAGCCTACGCGATACAATCGATTATGGAAGACTCACTAGGCGGTGCAAGCCACGTGGTGCAATTTGAACAGTGTGATATGTGCGGCGTGAAAGATGAGGCCAACCCGTGTGGGACCCGATTCGGTGGAACCCTATTGCGTGGGACCCTATCGTGCGGGATCGTGGGATTCGGTCGTGTTGGAAAATGTCGTGTGGGACCCGATGGGTTGGAGTTATCGCGGGGGCCCTCATCGTGTGGGACCCTATCGTGTGCGACCCAATGAGATGCCCTAACGCGTGGGACCTGTGTGGTTGGACCCCATGATGTGGGACCCTGTGGCCAGCAACGTGCGACATGTGTGGGACCCTACGGTTCCAGCGCCTTTTCTGCCGCAGTCGGCACCGAGCTCTGGCACCAGGCTGCAAGGCAGGTACAGGTCTGCTGGCCGGACCGTGAACCAGACGACACCTAAACGCCCGGACGACCACCCGCCACCGCAGCTCACCTGCCCCCCGCCTCCGCCCCCGGCACGCGCGCCTAACTAGCGGGGCCTGGTGGCTCACACCCCGCGGCCGTGTCTTCCCCGCCTGCTTGCTGCCTGCTGATTTGCCTGCTTGCCGCCCTCCCCGTTCCCTTCCCTTCCCTTCCCCTCCCTTCCCTACCTCCTCCTCCTCCTCCTCCTCCTCCTCCTCCTCAACCTCCTCCTCCTCAACCTCCTCCTCCTCCGCCTCCTCCTCCTCCTCCTCCTCCTCCTCCTCCTCCTCCTCCTCCTCCACCTCCTCATAATCCTCCACCTCCTACCCCGGACCGGGCTGCGAACCGAGTCCTGGACGGCGAAGCGTCTCCGCTGTCGCGCATTGCTACGGCTTCTGAGGCCGCAGCTCGTGGTATTCTCGGTTGCGTGCTGCCGCCTTTTGGAGGGCGCTTCGTTGGATGCCGGAGTGGCGCTTTCGTTGAACCATCGCTCTGTCACAGAGCCTCTGGGCGCTACGTGCTTCCCTACTCTCAAGCAGTGGCGAAGCGCCCTGGCAAGCTTCTAGGCTTACCAGACAATATTCGAAGAACTTTTTTTAGTCTGCGCGAAATGTTCTTAGAACAGTTATGGTTGAGTTTGTCTTGCTTTAACACACTGGGCTCATGTTCTAAGAATCTTGTTCTCCGTTCGAAGCATTCTTGGGTTTAAAGAACATGTCGCTGTAGGCCTAAAGGAATACGGGGAAGGTCGGTCCCTGCTCAACATTATGTCCCCCTCCTCCTCCGCCTCTTCCTCTCGGCAGCGCAGCGTCGTCGCCTCGCTCGCGCCCGCCCACCCGCTAAGGCGGCCGGGCGCGGCCAGCTGGGGCTGTTGTTCGTTCCCCATTCGGTCTGGGTCAGGGGCTGCGGCTCGCAGGCCGATGGGGGCTTGAATCTGCGCTGATATTTGACTACTTCGCTCCTCGTGGGCGAACAGGGCCAATTCATCAGACGACAGGTTAGTAGAAGCCCTCAGTGCAAGCATTGTGTTGGGAACAATGGTGTCCAGGTTCCACGTCGCCCCCTCTCTGGGCGGCTTCTTGCCATCTGGTTGCTGTCAGTTTCCAGCACAGATGGGAATGAGGAGGGGGGGGAGGGGGGAAGGACGAGATGGAAGGGAAATGAGAAGGAAACGAATGCAGCGCAGGGGAACGGAAGGAAAGAGAGGGCACAGTAGGTCCCTTTCATGTCGCGACCCCGCCGCCGGCGTTCAAGGTTGAACGTCGCCAGTGGCGCAGAATCGCCCCAAATGGAGCGATCAGGCGATCAGAAAGCCGCCGATAGTTCAAGATTGGACGATCCACGCGGTGTCAGACACCAACGCTGGCGTCGTCACGACACGTACCTGCCGTGGGGTTGGGGGGAGGGACGGGGGGAGAAAGAGGAGGAGGAGGAGGAGGAGGAGGAGAGGAGGAGGAGGAGCAGGAGGAGGAGGAGGAGGAGGAGGAGGAGGAGGAGAGGAGGAGGAGGAGCAGGAGGAGGAGGAGGAGGAGGGTCGGAGATGAGGCGACGGGGGCAGTGCGCCCATTCCGCCGAGGACGCATTCGCGGCCTGCTCGGAGGCTGCAGGCGAGGCCCAGCGGCGGCTGCGCGATGCCGCGCGCAGGTTCCTTGCCGGTGACTGGCCAGCGCTCTCAGGCTGGCTCGCCCGTCAGCCGACCTCCGACGATCGCGGTGCCGTCGTCAGAGGAGGGGGAAGGGAGGAGGGAGGAGGGAAGAAGAGGGGGTTAGGGCGAGGAGAGGGGGGATGAGAGAGAGAGAGGAATAATGTGTGGGGAGAGAGGAAGGAGGGGACCCAAGAGAACTGCTGGGGCATTTCGAAGAAGCCGCTGGAATGCCGCTTTGACCTGCGGCAGCGCTGGAGAATTTCGGATGACCGTGGTCAATGAACGGATTCCGACGCTGCGCGCCAGGAAGGGACGCCAGAGAGATGGAAGGAGGAGGGAAGGTGTGAGGAAGCTGGAGCGAGGGAGGGAAGGAGAAAGGAGGGAAGGCGGAGAGAAGGAGGGCGTGCAAGAGGGAGGGAAGGAGGGAGGGAACGTGTACGGACGAGGCCCGGCACGCTGACCATGGGTTTGCCGGTGCCCGGTCGCCCATGCCCCACGCCACCCGTCCCTTTGTCGCTTGCGGGGCGGGCGCGTCGCGGCAGCTCCGCTCCGGTTCCAGTCGGGGGGGCGGGTGGGATGATCAACAGCGGGGTTGCGCGGATGATAGATAGGCGGAGTAGGTGCAGGAGTTGGCTGATGCTGATGGGGTGAGAGGGTGGATGAGGACGATTAGGCGAAGGAGGGGAGGGAGGAGGAGGGGGAGGAGGAGGAGGAGGAGGAGGAGGAGGAGGAGGTGGAGGAGGAGGATGAGGTGGTGGCGGAGGAGGAGGAGGAGGAGGTGGTGGAGGAGGAGGAGGCGGTGGTGGATGGGGGAGGAGGGCAAAGGGTGAGGGGATAAGGGAGGTAGGATAGAGTGGGGGGAGCGGATGATGAATAGGCTATGGGGAGGGGTGGGGCTGATGAGGGGGGGCGGATGAGGATGCCGAGGCGGCGGAGCAAAAATAGCAGGAGGACGAGTGGCGTGTGGCATGATGGGTCCAGCATGCATTATCAGGGTACCTGACGTTCGCGATGGTCAGCTGGCTGCTGCAGCTATTCTACTACGCCTTCGTCTGTGTGTGCATGCCCGCAGCTGGCCTGGGCCTCCTCAGTCCCACAAGGAGAAATATACTTTCTTGGCGCGGGACCAGGAACAGGTGGGGATGGGATGGAGGAAGGGGAGAGAAGGAATGAGGAAAGCTTGGCGCGGCATCAGGACTGGGTCAGGTTGGGGAGATGAGGGAGAGCCGGAAAAAGGAAAGCGAAGTCAACTAGGAGGGAATGCGGATGCAGGAGGGAAGGGGAAGGGGAGAGGGAGGAGGAGGGAGGAGGGAGGACGGAGAGGGGGACGGAGAAGGCCACGAGGGCAGGAGGAGGCATGAGGGATGAGAGAAGTGAGACAGGGGGCGGCGGGGTGTAGTGTGTAGCGCTGTGTAGTGGTAGTATTTCTTGTTGCTATGAGTCCCCCCCGTCGCCGAACCAGGGGCATGATCCCATAGAGGCTGAATTCGGACATGCGCTCGAGCAGCTCCAGGAGAACCCGCTATGTAGTAATGGTTCTATCTTACAAATTGCGAGTGTACGAACTGCTGCGTCACGGTAGGCCACCGCTCGCCAATTCAGGCCGAGGCAAGCTAAGAACACGCATGAGACATAGAGGTGGCCATCAGGCTGGACACGGCGTGCGTGAGGCCAGCCAGCCTGGGCGCGAATGGGCGTCACCAGCGCGAACCCGCCAAGCACGAGCCGGGCGGCCACTTGTTGACTCAGCTTATCGCTAGCAGTAGCGATCCTGTCGGCTCACGACTAGCTGGGCACCTAACCGCTTAGTGAAAGTTATGAGTAATGGGTTCAGCTTGGGGAGTAGGAGGAGGAAGAAGAAGAAGAGAAAGTGGGAGTATGAAGCGTATCCCTATCCATGAAGCGACCAGAGCGTCCAGACAGGGCCGAAGACGCCCGAATATTGTTTCTCAAAAGGGATTTGGAGACCCCGACGACGTCCTCAGAAGGCTCCAAGATGCACCTTGAAGGGCCCCAGGAGGCCCAAATTGGTTCAATCCTCCAGGGAAACGCACAGGTGCAGCATATTCGCATTTCGGCCCATAACAGCATCCAAAACGGTCCAAGAGGCCCCACACATCGACCCAAGACGGCCCAATAAGCTTCCAACAGGGCCCCAGGACGGCCCAAAAGAGCCAAAACACGGTCCAAGAAGCGCCCAAGACGGCCCAACATGGCCCCAAGTCCAAGACGGGGAGCTCCAACTGACATTTCGAGCCCTCCGCTCCCAGTGGGCCCCCAGGGCCGCAAGGAGGCCCCCAAGAAGCCCCAAGGAGTTTCAAAAGTCCTTCCACGAGGCTCCCGAGAAGCATGCCAACAGACAGGCATCCAAGAGCACAGTAGCGATATCGGCCAAAGGCCATAGATAAGCATGCAATTAGCTTGGCGACAGACCCATTCTTACGCAGTCATGTGTAGCGCAGGGCGCGGACCTCTCTTCATACACTGCGCGCCGCGGGGTTATGCGGAAAGCGGGCTGCTGTGGAACACGCGTGCTCTGGTGCGCTGAACTCTTTGTGGGGCACGGTCTGCGTGAAGGGTGTGCCAAATCATTCGGATGCCTCCTCGCGAACACGCCCACTGAGGCCAGACCCACTCCGGGCACGAGCCGTGCGAGCCATGTTCAGAAATCGGAAATGGGCGGGGGGGCACCGTACCAAGCTGCTCATTGGTTCCATAGGTGGAGCTGCTTCTGGGGCATGATTCGCGTGACGGGTGTGCCGACATGGGCGGGGGAGCGTTGTACGAACATTGTCCTTGGGTGAGCCTTTAGATGGTGTTTCTTCTGTGCACGATTCGCGTGATGGGGTGTGCCGCAATGGGCGGAGGGGGCGCAATGCGGACCCTGCCTCTGGTGCCATATAGGTGGAGATCCTTGTGGGCCACGATCCGTTTGAGAGGTGTGCCCAAATAGGCGGGGTGGCGGCACGCGAACCTTGCCTCTGGGACCGTCCATAGAACTCCCCGCGGTCCACGACCCGTGTGAGAGATGTGCTGAAGGAAGCTAGGCGACGCTATGAAGCTTCCCTGTGGTGCCGCAAAGGCAGTTACGAGCTGGGCACAGTCCGCGTCAGGGGCGTGCCACTATGCGAGCCTTGTCTCTGGGGATGTAGGTGGAGATCCCTGTGGGGCGCGATCCCTTTGAGAGGTATGCCGGCATGAGTGGGGAGACGCTAAGCCAAGCTTGTATCTGGTGCCGTCGGTGGAGCTCCCTCCCATGAGTGACAAGTTCCGTGTGGCACTCTATGTTATCCGACGCCGAACGTGGTAGGCTACAACCAGAACGTGCTAGATCTAGGCGCGCGCACACCGCGCGCTCGGCTCTAGTGTGTATAGATATATAGATACATATGTATCTATACATCTGTATACATATATATATATATGTATATAGCGATAGCACAACCACCAGCGGACAACAAAGGGCAACCACGGGACAATCACGGGACAACCGCGGGACAACCACAGGAACACGGGGGGCACCCCACCGGACAATTACGGGACGAACACGGGACAACCTGGGGCCCGTCGCGTCCAGGGCGATTCTGGACAACATCGGGACAATTACAGGACAACATGGGGCACAGGGCAACCACGCGACAACCGCGGGACAACCACGGGACAACCGCGGTACGCTCACAGGATAATCCTGGGCACTCCACCGGACGACCACGGCACAACCCGGGGCACGCTCCGTTTAGGACGATTCTTTTGGGGTCGACTTGGGCCTCGCTAGGGCAGGATCACTCTCGCCCTCGTGCAGCTTCGCCTTGCCCGCACGCGAGACGCGAACCGAAACCGAATCCGATTGCCTGGACCGAAGCCGAACCGAATCCGATTGCCGAATCCGCTTCACCCCCTCCAACATCCAATGCTACAGGAAAGTTTTCGCGCGGCGTGAGTTCAGACCGAAGGAATCGACGCCACTTGTGCTACCACATTTTTTGAGCCTGGGTGGTGAAATGTGGAAGCCCGTCTTCGAACAACGCATCGACGACTCCCAGCTGGACGGGCCTCGCAGAGCTGTCCCGCCACATGGGGGAAGCAGAGGCTGGCGCGCGGGCCCAACGGCAGCGAAGTTGGGCATCGCAGTCAGAGCCGGGGACAGTGTTCGGGGGCAGGCACATGAGCATGAAACTACGTTCGCATATACTTCGGGGTAGGTTCGCGAGCGTGAGACGTTCAACAAAATATCTGCGCACCGTTTGGGGCCAGGCCCGCATAGTTTAGTGCATTCGCGGCGCCCCAGAGTACGCAGGGACGTGGCGGTGGCGCAGGTCGGCGCCAGCAAGGGCGTGGGGACGCTCGGGGGCAGGGAGGGCCGGGTCAATATCGGCTGCGGGCGAAGGCGGCACCAGAGCAGGGGAACGGCAAAGGAGCTCGGCGGCCCACGGTGGAGGGCAGCACTGGGTAGATGGAAATTTGTCGAAGGGCGTCAACTGCACGCCTCCACGAGGAGGAGGACGGGAGGAGAAGGAGGAGGAGGAGGAGGAGGAGGCAGAGGAGGAGGAGGAGGAGGAGGAGGAGGAGGAGGAGGAGGAGGAGGAGGAGGAGGAGGAGGAGGAGGAGGAGGAGGAGGAGGGGGAGGAGGAGGATGAGGAGGAGGAGGAGGAGGAGGAGGAGGAGGAGGAGGAGGAGGAGGGGGGAGGAGGAGGAGGAGGAGGAGGAGGAGGAGGAGGAGGAGGAGGAGGAGGGAGGAGGGGGAGAGGAGGGGGAGGAGGAGGGGAGGATGAGGATGGGGGAGGAGGAGGAGGAGGAGGAGGAGGAGGAGGAGGAGGAGGAAGAGGAGGAGGAGGAGGAGGAGGAGGAGGAGGAGGAGGAAGAGGAGGAGGAGGAGGAGCTATCCTGGCCAGGCCCATCCTGAGGTCAGGATCGGTGTGCATGCCCTCCTAGCTTGACGAGGAAGGCATTCGCACCGATCCTGCGCCCAGGATGGGCCTGGCCTGGATCGGTGTATAAGTGTGTGGTTGGTGCCCGCCGAGTCTTGGGCAAGGCACAGCGAAGCTCCTTGGCGATCGGGGCCAGACTTCCTACGTCGGCGGCTCTCGAGATATTTCCCCCGCGCCCTGCTCAGGGCCGTTCCGCTGCGGTTCATCGCGTTTCGCAGCGACTCTCACCGTTTCAACCAGGGCCGTATTAATTGTTTGACGAATCCGCCACGGAAGTCGTATAGGCACCCGAAGAGAACGGTGTGACCAGTGGATGTGACCAGCGAGGGTTGGGCATTGCTCAGTTGGGCGCACGAAGGGCCATCGACACTCGAGAAACAAATTTGACTTTCTGTTTCGATGCGCCAGGCCTGAACTGCTCAGAAACAAGCCCAGCGCGATCGACGGCACATTGAACGCGAAGTTCCGCTCCGCAAGAGGATTTGATGTTGCGGTCTGGATAATGCGATAGCCGAATTGCCCGCGGCAGGTCCCAACATCTAGTAGCAGTCCCCCTGCGTTGACCCAACAGACCACGACCCCACGGCCCGCAATCCTGGCGCCACCACGGCCCTGACAAGCAGGTAGCGGATCGGGCCTTCTGGCGGGCTGGCAAGCCCGCTCCCACGGAGACCCGCCAGAGAAAGCCCGTTGGTGTTCGCTCTCCGGGCCTGCTTCGCTCCAGCTTTGTGTGGACGGCCCGCCTCCAGAGCCCGACTCGGGCACGCACGCGAAGATCGACATGCTCTGAGCGCACTCGCCCCGCCCGCGGCCTCGTCCAGCCCCCTCCGCGTCGCTCCCTTCCCTTCAGTACCTACTTCGCTTGTCGTGGCATCCCCACGCTTGCCCTGAACGCATCGGGTTCGCTCCAACGCCGCCGACCAAGGAAGCTCGGCTCCGGCTTCTTCACCCCGCCGCCTCCCCTTCCGCGTGCCTCTCCCCTTGGCGCCTCGGTCCCCTCGCCCCCCTGCACTCCTCCCCCCCTCGACCGCTGGCTGCAGCCTGTCGTTCCACGCGATGATGTTCCTGATGGTGTCCAGCTACGTCCGCACGGTCTGCACGGATCCAGGCCCCGGGGTGCCCTGCAGCTCTCTGGCTGGAGGCTTTGGAGGGCAGCCGTGCCCCTCGGGCAGAGTGGCGGGGTGAAGGGGGGAAAAAGGAGAGAGAGAGAGAGAGAGAGAGAGAGGGGAGGGGGAGGGGGGGCGGGCAGTGGATGGGGAGGAGACGGGACGGGAGGGGAAGGGGGGGGGAAGGCAGATGAGGGGAGTGGTGGGCATGAAGGCGGCACCTCATACATATTCGATTTAATTTCTATACACATAAGTGCATATATACATACATACATACAGACATACATACATACATACATACAGACAGACAGACAGACAGACAGGCAGACAGGCATACATACATACATACATACATACATACATGCATGTGTACAGGTGTGCATCGATATATATATATATATATATACACATATATATATATGTGTATACATAAGTGTATGTACAAACACCGGCATGACTCATACATACATGCGTACAGACAAGCATATATACATACGTGTGCACGCACATACATACGGACACTAAACATATGCGTACATACATGCACACGCACATACATGCATGCGTACATGCTTGTATGCATGCATGCATACATGCATACATACATGCACACATGCATACAGGTACACCGTATTAGCACAGCTATCAATATGCATACACACGTGTATATGCATACACACATACACATATATATGAACCTATGCGCATGCACGTTTGTATATGTATGCAAACACACACATATCCATCTAAATCTATTCATGTATACAAGTTTACATTTACGCATGTGTGCAGACATGTGTATGTACATATACATATATGTATAAATACATATCTTGATATAGTGCACATGTACATATACATATACCCTGGGTCCAAGGCCGGGGGGGCCAAGGAAGACACCAGATCTCCATGCCGGTGGCGGGGATCTTGGGCCCGTCTGAGACGTCAAAAAACGATCGGACACGGCCTCAGAGAGCCCGAATAACCTCCAGGACAGTCCAGGAGGCCCTCGAGACGGCCCAAGACTGTTCCAATGCGGCCTAAGATGTTCACGAGACGGCCCAACGTGCTCCCAAGAGTGCCCAAGAAGTTCTCAAAACACCTCCTGGGAGGAATCCTTCGAACACCGAAGTAAAATCGATAGTTGTTGCCCTTCCAGCTTTTTTCGCCTGAGACGCGATTCCGAGGCATCAATGTGAGCCCCAAGAGGCCCTCAAGAGACGCCTTCAAGAGCCCTGGGGAAGCCGCAAGAGGCGCTCAAGAGGCCTCCAGAGGCTCCAAAGACGCTCCAAATACGTCATCAAGTGACCACCAAGAGGCCCCCAAGAGTCATAAGAGGCCCTCACGAGCCCCACGAGCTCCCAAGAGGCCCCCAAGAGCCCCCCAAGAGGCCCCAAGAGACGTCCAAGACGCCCCCAAGAGGCCCCCAAGATGCTGCAAGAGGCTCCCAAGAGCCCCCAAGAGACCCCGAAGAGGCCCCCAAGGCTGAGCTATATGCTATAATGGAGGTATCTTGAGGCCCCAAGCGAACTCCGGAAATCCGCCGCCCCCTGTTGGCTTGCCACAGGGGTGCCCGGCGTGCTAGACCCCTTCGATGTTGGTCTTGGCTTTTTGTCCAAAAGAACTCCCCCTTAGGATTCGGCCCGTCCCGTCGGCCACCCGGAAAAGTGCACGAATGGTTGCAAAGGGTTGTTCGCCTCCAGACGGCTCGAAGATGGCCCAAGCTGGCCTTCAAGATGCCTCCAAGATGGCCTCCAAGACGGCCTGAGAGGGTCCGAGATACTTCCAGATACGCCCAAGAAGCCTCCAAGACGGCCCAAGACTGCCCAAGAGGTGTCCACGAGGCCTCCTAGACGGCCCAAGAGGCCTCCGAGAGGTCCTCCAGGAGGGCCCGAAGATGCTAAAATCATCGATTTTCTTTTAGTTTGAGCGATTTTCATATTTGCTTTTTGTCGGCCTTCCGACGACCCAAGACGGCCCAAGAGGTTCCCAAGGTCGCCCCCAGAGCGCCCAAGATGTCTCCAGGATGGCCCCAGAGCAGCCCAAGAGGCCTCCAAGTCGGGCCCAAGAGGGCCCCAAAACGGCCCAAAAGGCTTCCAAGACGCCCAAGGAAGCCTCCAAGACTGCCCCGGAGCACCCCAAGAAGGCCCTAAGTCGGCCCAGAGAGGCCCCCAAGACGGCTTCCGACGGCGTCAGACAGGCCAGGAGTCCACCAAGACGGCCGAAGATGGCCCTAAGATGGCCCAAGAGGCCTCCAAGAGAGCCCCCAGGAAGGCCCGAAGAGGCCCAAATCATGTATTTTCCAAAGGTGTTTGAAGGATTTTGGCGTTTGCTTCTTTTCGGCCTTCCGACGACCCGAGACGGCCAAAGAGACCCCAAAGATCGCCCAAGAGGCCTCCAAGATGGCCACAGAACGGCCCAGGAGGCCCCCAAGACGTCCCAAAGAGGGCCCAACGACGGCCCGAGAGGCCTCCAAGACGCCCAAGACAGTTTCCAAGACAGCCCCAGAGGAGGCCCCCAAGGCGGCTTCCGACGGCGTCAGACGGGCCAGGAGCCCACCAAGACGGCCGAAGATGGCTATAAGACGGCCCAAGACGGCCCAAGAGGCCTCCAAGAGAGCCCCCAGGAAAGCCCGAAGAGGCCAAAATATGTGCCTTAGGTGTTTGAAGGATTTTGGCATTTGCTTCTTTTCGGCCTTCCGACGGCCGGAGACGGCCCAAGAGCCCCCAAAGATCGCCCCACGATCGCCCAAGAGGCATCCAGGATGGCCCCAGAGCAGCCCAAGAGGCCTCCAAGACAGGCCCAAGAGGGCCCCAAGACTGCCCAAGAGGCCTCCAAGACGCCCAAGATGGCCTCCAAGACAGCCCTGGAGCACCCCAAGAGGGCCCCTAAGTCGACCCAGAGTGGCCCCCAGATGGGCGATTCTAGAAGGCAGGGGGCGACGGTGATTCGCCGTAGGCGTCTTCGGTTAAACAGTAAGAAGGTAAGCAACTCCGAATAACAAGAGTTTTGAGCATTCGGACGCCTCCCTGAGGGGCCTTGGCCACCCGTAGCCGCCTTGGAACGGTCTTGCGGTCCCCATTAGGAAGCATGTTGGAAGCTATATGTATTGGACCATTGTGGGTTACCTTCACAGATCTTGAAGCCATCTTGGGCTGCTTGGACCCCTCTTGAAGCCAGTGTAAGCTCTTTTGGACGCTCTAACGCGTCATGGGAGGGGTCCAGACCCAGGGAGAAGGCCTCTCCCAGAAGCGGGAGAAAGGGGTGAGAACAAATACATCGCTCACCCACTCGGGCTACGCAGATTCGCAAGCGAATGAAACATTGGTTCATCACATGAATATCAATATACAGCAAATGGCGGCACTACAGAATGAGGGCGAGTTCATGGGAGCGGGGCGAGGACGACACGGAGTGAGCGAGGGAATGAGGGATCCGCCGTGACGACAGTATGAGCACGAGAGGAACCAGGGGGGGCGCTCAGGGCGACGACACATCTGACAATCACTTCTGCGCATAACAGTTTAAAGACATGGAACGCTGTCGACACGAGCCCGCGTGCGCTCCTAGAGAGCTCACCGTTTCTGTTTCAGCAGTTGCGTCTGCTTCCAAGGCGTAGGGCTACCTAGAAACAGGTCGCGCGCGGAGTGCGCGCGAATGTTTCTAGTGTGTATACATATATATATATATATATATATATATATATATGTATGTGTATATATATAGTCTTCGTCGATCTCCATGTGTCGGCAGGAATGTGCAAGATATGGAGGTCACGAAGGCGATGCCGTGGTCGGCGTGTTTTGTTGGGGGGGCGCGCCGATGTGGGCCAGATCTGGGGCCCCAGATGGACCCCAGCCCCTCGTGCTCCCCCCGCGCTCGCGCCACCCCTAACAGCGCCGCCATCGAGAAGCGATCGTTGTGTGTATTGATTGGTTTCCCGATCGGCGCCGGCCCCCGAGCCCCTCCCGCCATGGAGTGGATCTAGGCTGTTGTTTGGGCGCCTGTTTCGAGCGGGTGGGGTCTCCCCCGGAGGCAGCACTCTTGCAAACAGTCGCACTGAGCAGAGGTCTGGAGCCAGACCCCCCCCCTGGACCGCCCAATGTTGAAACGCCGAAACAAACAAAACGCTCACTAATCGATTCGCGCCGCGCACATTCGTTCTTCAAGCTCGCCCTGCGGGCGGAACAAGAGAGGCCGAGATAGAGAGAGAGGACAAACAACGAGATACAGAAGCGCACGTACGCATAAACGCGATACTTCATAGTTGCTGTTTTCATTGCCGTCGATACAGTATGTGTGTCATTCGTCGTCCTTCGTATTCCCACGACCTCTTCCTCGTTCTTGCCCTTCCTTGCGAATTCTTCCCTGCCTCCTCAGTTGTTTGTTGCGGAGGCCTCTCCTTGGAAAGCCCCTTGGGGGCCTCAGGACACCTTGTTCGGGGCTGCTTGGGCGCTTCTGGAGGCCTCCTGGGCTCTCTGTGGGCGCATATGGAGGCTTCCTAGGGCCACCTCGATGCGAACCACGGCCTCTCGCTTCGGGGGGCGTCTTGGGGCCATCTTGGCCCGTATGGGGCTCTGGGCGGTTTTCGGATAGTTTCGAATAATTCTGGGGCGAGGTTCGGGGCCTCTCGGGCGGTTTCCGACGCCTCGAAGACCACAGAACCGAGCATCCAGAAATCATGCAAGAACGGCAGTACGTACCTCGATGCGTTCTGCGTTTGGAGGACCTATCGGTGGCGTTCTTTGGGCCGGCTTCGGGCGTCTGGTGGGTGTCTGGGGCCGCTTGGGTCTATCGCGGGGCCGTCTGGCCACCCTCGCGACCGCTTTGAGGCCTGCTGGCAAGGCCTGGCAGGGACTTTCTGGCGGCCCTGCAGTACCAGGAGGCCCTCTGCAAGGGCGTCCGTGGTCCCCGGGGCCAAGGATCTGGGGGAGGGGCGTTTTGGGGGGGGGGGGGCTCTGGGGCGGGGAGGGAGGAGAAGAGCATGGGGGAAGAGGGG